TTCTCTCAGATCACACAATAAATTAGTGGCAGAGGTAGAACAAAAGCCTAATTTCCACTTTACCATTTCCTGGACAAACTGTAGAACAATTGTAAGCCACTGATATATTCTACATACTAAAGCCGCTCTGTTGCCTTTTTAGGTTCTACTATGTTAGGTTTACGTTCCCCTGCTTTTTACATTCCTGTTCGAAGAGTTTATGACTTAACCACAGAGAGAGTTCCAGAACATGAGAAACAGAATAAACTTGAGCAATCATAGTCCATCTACTTCATTTTCTCATCAAAAACCAAAGGTCCAGTGAAGCTCTGGAACTTGACGCTGTAAATGAGTGAAGGAGCATCTACACAGAGCTTCGATCCCTGTCTCCTTATCCTGTGTCAGCAGACTTGACTGCAATCTGGATTATGCTGCTTTCTAAGCATTTAAAATAAAATAAAAAGTTTAACAGCGTGATAAATTCTTTCAAAAAGCAAGTAATCACATTTATGTATCTGCTTACATTCGGGTTTTCCAAACAGCACGTGTGTGTGTGTGTGTGTGTGTGTGTGTGTGTACATGTAAACTTTAAACATGGTACATCTGTACCCAATAAATCATAGCCATCAAATAATAACATAGAAATCCAATTCTCCCCTCATACTTATTAAGATGGCTACTAACCATATACAATGGAATATTATCCAGCCTTAAAAAAAAAAAAAAGGAAATCCTGCCATGTGCTAAAACATGGATGAACCTCAAAGACACTGTACAAGGTGAAATAAGCCAGTCACACAAAGTAAATCACTACGATTTCACTTATATGAGGTACTTAAAGTAGTCAAATTCATGGAGACAGAAAGTTGAATGGTGGGTGCCAGAGACTGAGAGGAGGAGGAATGAGGAATTCTTGTTTAATGGGTATGGAGTTTCAGTTTTGCAAGGTGAAAAGAGCTCTGGCAATGGATGGTGGTCATGGTTGCACATTATGAATTATGAATGTATTTAATACCACTGAACTATCCATTTAAAAATGGTCAAGAGGGCAACAATTAATATAGTATGCATTTTGCCACAATAAAAGAATGAGAAAAAAATCCAATCCACCCCTCCTTGGCCTAACATGGTCTTCCTCCACCCCCAGCATCCTCTCTTCTATCCACTCCCAAGTGCCAGTCAGTGAGGGAAATAAGGACCATTATTATTTCCATTCTCTCTCTCTACAACAATTTCCCTATTGATTCAAGCAAGAATGTGGGGTAGGGATTATGGGCAGTATGACTTATGATAAACTTTCACTCTGCAAAACAACACTCTCTTTTAAACATCTCCACTCTTTTGAACTGGATTTGCAATCCCAGAGCTAAAAAAACAGGCTACAGACATGATGCATGTACTTTTTGATGTGTACCCTGAGATGAGCAAGTTTAGATTCATCCTGGGTTTGGGTAATGAATTCTGATCCTATGCATCATCAAAGATTCCTTTATTTCTCCTCCTTGTTTTTCCTCCCCATGAGTGTATCTGCTATTGAATCATGTGCACTCCATTCAATGATTATCTCACTATAATAAGGTCAGTGGGGAGCAACTTATGTGTTTCCACTGTTCCCAAGAACCAAGAGAAATTATACGTAATGATGCCTCAAATCAAATTAACATAATGCTAAATTTTCAAGATCTAAAGCAGAGTAATGCAAACAATATTAGTGATGTAGCTGTCACTTCAAGATACTAACCTGTAAACTACAGAAAACAATGCTGTCATTAATTTTATTTGCACATAATTAATGGAATGATTAAAAGCTGTTGGTGCCAGGGCACAGTGGCTCACACTTGTAGTCCCAGCACTTTGGGAGCCTGAGGTGGGAGGATCACTTGAGCCCAGGAGTTTGAGACCAGCCTGAGCAATATAGTGAGACCCTGTCTCTAGAAAACATTAAAAAATTAGCCAGGCAAGGTGGCACACGCCTGTAGTCTCAGCTACTCAGGAGGCTGAGGTGGGAGGATAACTTGAGCCCAGGAGGTCAAGGCAGCAGTGAACTATGATCACACCACTGCATTCCAGCCTGGGTAACAGAGTAAGACTCTGTCTCAGAAAGAAAACAAAGCTGTTAGTAAAATAACTTGACATCCTGTGTTATTGGGTAGTAACTGTTTAAAGAGACTAAAAGGTTTAGCACTTTGCTTCCACTAGAGAAATATAATCTGATAGGAAATTTTATTTTTATTTTATTTTTTTATTTTATAAATTATATAATTTATAAAATTATAAATTATATAATTTATAAAATTTAAAATTATATAATTTATAATTATATTATAATGGTCTTCATTATAATAATAATGAGTGACCAATTCTGATCCTATAATATGGTGCAATACTGTATCCCGAGTAGCAAATCTAAGAGTCTCTAGTATATTATGTAATACAAAGCTCAACCATATGTTCAGTACTTTAGCACTTATTATAAAAACTAAAAAATAGTCTCATATATTGCAAAGCATGGACTGTCAAGCTGTATTCAAGTACCAGTTCCTACTGTGTGACCTTGGACAAGTTACTTGAACCCTTTGTGCATCTGTTTTCTCATCTGTAAAATGGATATAATAAAAAAAGTAAGTATATGATTTTGGTATGCTGTAACTGTTTAATCCACATTCTCTGCTATTACAGTAAACCATCTAATACAGTAAACTCAATAAAATTGTTTTGCATTGCTTTCTCATTGTCTTACTAAAGAGTTGCATAATGTTAACAGATAATGATTTCTGAATCACCACTCTGTTGAAAATCTTTATTGCTTCCCTGTGATCTTAACAGTCATTTTTAAGTGTTAGGTATTCATTGACTGCAAACACTCCATAGCCCAGTATAAAAAGGAGGGAACCCTCAAATTTTCTAATTAGACAAAAATGAAACATAAACTGAGGGCACCCGTATGTCTCAAGTTACTAGTAACACAGGATGACAAGTTATTTTACTAACAGCTTTGTTTTCTTTTTGTTTTTGAGACAGGATCTTACTCTCACCCAGGCTGGAATGCAGTGGTGTGATCTAAGTGTATGTGTTCACAACTTCAAATCCCGGATGGAAAAATAACCCTCATTCCAAAAGGACATAAATAATAGTTAAATAAAATCAATTAATGTAAATACATCTAAGGAGGTTTGCAAAGTAATTTCAGCTAGTTCTATGCAATATTTCTTTTTTTTTTTTTTTTCCATCCTTTCACTCCCTTTTCCTCCCATCCTCAACCCTCAGGTAGGCCCCAGTGTCTGTTTGTGGTTCCTTTCTTTTCTTTTTTTTTTGAGACAGAGTCTCACTCTGTCATCCAGGCTGAAGTGCAGTGGTGTGATCTTGGCTCACTGCAACTCCCGCCTCCTGGGTTCAGATGATTCTCCTACCTCAGCCTCCCGAGTAGCTGGGATTACAGGCATGTGCCACCACACCTGGCTAATTTTGTATTTTTAGTAGAGACGGAGCTTTCCCATGCTGGCCAGGCTGGTCTTGAACTCCCGACCTCAGGTGATATGCCCCTATCGGCCTCCCAAAGTGTTGGGATTGCAGGCATGAGCCACCACGCCTGGCCTCTATGCAATATTTCTAATATGATATGCAAGCTGAGGAACATTTATATATTGTAGATGACAGAGCATTATTAAGCCCCAGTGTTCATAAAGATGATGGCATTTGGAAAAGCACCATCGCCAGAAATTTCTAAAAGCAAAGTGGAGATGGTTTTTATTCTAAGCCTAAAGTATTTTTAAATCAAGCCACAGGGAAATAATTACTTTTGTTTCTATTCAATCAAGACCTGCACACAGAGTTTATGGAATGACATAATATCCTTCCTGAAATCAGACCAGCATGTAGGACCAGCATCCTTCACACATAACTAGTTCCTGAGCCTTTACAAACAAATCCTAATTTCCAAGGAAACAATCTCATCAAATGCTGCTCACTAGAATACATATTGTTCTTTTTGGAAACATTACAATAAGATTTTCATGATTACAAACCCCAACTTCCTCTCTAATATTCAATATAATCTTAAACTCATTTATTTAAATGGAAACTGTATTTTTATAATGGCTGTAGAAATTCCTGGGTAAGTTATGTAGCACCGATATAATAATTTCTTTTATTTTAGTCTGGGGGGGCGGTGATCATTAACGGACTGTAGACGTGTGTTAGGAACCTCTTAGGAATGTTCATCTTTCTACTTTCTCCTGATATACCGTATAAGGATCAGGTTTAAAAAAATTTTTTTTTTTCTTGGAGACTGGTAAATTTTAGTAATGTCTAGACTTCCAGGCTGGTATTTTGGGGGGGCTGAGAATAAAAAGAAAATCAAGCAGCTTATAACCAATATTCTCTTCTCTTTGCCTTAGGAAGCTGGAGTTTTGCATGCAGGTCATAGGATTTGTTTTGAGATAAACAAACACCTTAATTCTTTACCAGAAAAACAATATCAACACATCTTTGGCAACTGCTGACACAAACGTACAAACAGGAAGAGAATGCGATTCTAGTGCTTAGTCTGGTGGCCTTCGGAACAGAATTCTTACTTTCCTCCTCTTCACTAAGGATGTTCCAAATACTCCCGACAGGGTGGACATTAGTCCCCTGCCCCCTCCCTAAGGAAATAAACAAGTGTCCACATTCTAAATGTGACGGAGTGTGAGGAAATTGCAGAAAAGCTCCTAAGATACACACTGAGTAACCATTCTCATCTGTTCTGTAGACACATGTAAGTTTTGGAATTTATGATTCACTCTCCCACCATGAAGTTTTCTGTGCACTTTATGTTGAGCTATGTGGCAGCTGAGGGCTGTCCCTGTTTGTGAAAACTGCAGCCTAAAGTTATTTTTCAAAGTTATGGGTAGTGTGGCATAGAAATCCATATGTTATAAAGTGAAAACAATAATTAAAAAAAAAAAAAACTGGGTTAGCATGAAACAGAGCCAACAGAAATCAGAATGAGCAACAACAGCCTTCCACTGTCGGCCACTCACCTTGTTGGATTTTAGTCACTAGCTGATGGCGTGCTAGAATCCGGCTCATCCTGTAAGGAGAGCGTCTCGTAGTCTGATCAAATCGCAAGTACATCTCCTGGCCCTCAGGTGTCATGGAATTTAGGTAGTAGCAGCCTGAGGCTGGGGTCCTGGGCACCTGACTGAACATCTCGGCAGATTTCCTGTTGCCACCTCAGTCTGCCTGTGGCTGTTTCCGTCTGTCTCCAGTCTCAGTCAAAGAGCAAGGCACCCAGCCCAGGACAGCTCAACAGACCCAGCGATTTTTAAAAAGAAAAAGGAGTGCCAAAGCCACAACTCAGAATTCCAACCCCCCCGCCCTCATGTGATCACGGGAGCCAATGAGAGGAGGAGAGGAAAATAGGAACTTTCGCAGTCAGCCTGAAGCCCGGACCAGGGGCAGTTCCAGCCGCCAGGATCCCCCACACAATGCTGAAAGCAAAATACACGTATTTGACGTGCCTCAGAGCTGACGAAGCACCCAAAAGCAGCCCTCACTAAAAGAGTTAAAAGAAAAAGAGAGGGAACGGCAAAGACAGTAGGAGACAAACAAGTCCACGGGCAGGAAACTTTTCAGGCTGTCAAAGTTAAAGTGCCTTCGCTTTCTACAAGGCAGCTGCAGCCAGGTGAAAGATGGACCTGATAAATCTCTTAAAAAAAAATACTTCAAACAAGCATCAACAGCTGAGTGTAAACTACCAGTCTTCATTATCAAGAAACAACTCAAATAAAAACTTTTCCAGTGAAAAACTAACTTATAAACTTCAAGGGCTTTAACACCAGGAGTAAATACAGCACAGCCTCCTGACCCTCACGTGTTGGGAATTGGAGGGCTCTCACAGATAAGACACAGAGGCAAAGCACACACGTGGTACTTATTAAGCATCTGTTCCTCTTTGATTTCTCTACTTCTCCAATTTTTAATCACCTAGAGGCAAAATACTTAGAAAGTGCCTATCACATTTAAGACGTTGAATCATTAAAGACAAGAATCATTGCAGAAGTTGCAAAGATATCAAAGATACTGTCACCAACCTGCTAAGGATCCATTGAGAAATTATACAAAAGCTTCTAACATGAGGCCACATAGGTATCTCAAAAACGACTCAAACACAATGCCAGGTGAGCAATATTATTTTTGACTGGGTGATGATTGCAAGCCAGAGAAAGAGACATTTGGATAGGCTTTTTTAAATGGGGGGCGGGGAATTCTGATAGGCAGAAGCTGGGGAGGGCTTTGCAAGAGGCTCTAGGTGCCTATGTATGCGGACCCCGAACCAGAGTGTGTGTTTAAGCAAACTGCTAGTAATTCCATTTGGCTATATCTGAGTATATATATATATGGGAGTCATTATAATTTTTCCCTGTTTTTCTTCTTTAATATTGTTAGATATGAAGAGAAGAAGTCCATAGAATACATGTTATCAAATTCGGAGCCTGGAGCTGAATGAATAAGATTCTTATATAAAAAAGTATAGGACCAAGTTGCTTCTACATTTAGTTGACTCAAACTGAAACATAGCCTGGCTGGGCATTTATAGTCTAATAATGAGAAATTATTTCTAAATTATTTCCAAATTAAAAGTTTAACAGGACTTAAACTGGGGCTTCAATTCTTCTTACTCTGGCTCTCCGAGGCCCGTCAGCCTTAATAACTTTCCCTGAGGGAATTGTTGCTAGCCGGATTCTGAGAAGCAGCTCGTCTTGTGTAACCGTCCCACTATGTAAATAAACAAGTTAAGAAAGATCTCTGGGGCACAGCATGTGACAATTGACTACTATCTCACAGTAGTTGATAATCCTCAGCCTCTTTGGATGGTTATACAAGAGTCAGCATGTCTTTGTTTGCAGGTTGGCTTCATAGCAGAAATGGAAAGGAGATCTCCTGGGTCATATTGTGCACTTTCCATTCTTATTTGGGATTTGAGCAGCAGGTTTTTCTGTTTCATAGCATCCTTTGTGGAAGGTGAAAGGGATCTGAGACCTAAACAATGGCTCAGCAGAAGCGCGGATGTGAATGGAGAAAGACTGAGAAAGATACTGCAAAGTTGTTGCCTGGAAGGTTCCTGAGCCCAGCTCAGTCCCCACTGGTGGCCATGTGACTGAGGTGCTTGTACCAGCTGCTTTGTGCACATGCTTTCGGCTTGACAGTCCAACATTGGGAACATCCGAGTTGTAACTTTTTGTTCAAGCCAGACACTTGGTAGTTAGCACTTTTTTACTGGGAGAGAATGGAAGGAAGGTAGAGAGAGAAATGGAGTGCAGCGTGAGATTTGGGATCATTGAATATGCTCTGGGAAACCAAGTAAAGGTGAGGAAAAGGTAAGAAAAAATACATAGCTTTTTATAGCTTTGGATAGCACTTAAAGCTCACACCTGTAATCTCAGCACTTTAGGAAGACGAGGCAGATGGATCACGAGGTCAGGAGTTCAAGACCAGCCTGGCCAAGATGGCGAAAACTCGTCTCTACTAAAAATACAAAAATTAGCCAGGCATGGAGGCAGACACCTGTAATCCCAGCTACTCAGGAGGCTAAGACAAAGATTGCTTGAACCTGGGAGGCAGAGGTTGCAGTGAGCCGAGATCACGCCACTGCACTCCAGCCTGGGCGACAGAGTGAGACTCCATCTCAAATAAATAATAAACAAACAAATAAATAAATAAAAGATCAGCCATTCCCAATACCAACTTGCATTTCATTGCTGACTTGGCTGCATTCTATCATAAAGGCAAGTGGAATGATTTTTCCTGAGAAGGACTGCAGTGTGTCAAGGCCAGGTTACTAGAAAAAACAGTAACAACAATAAAACTTATATTGTCTCCTTTTTGCATAGTAATGAATGTGTTGAAAGTTCTAGGGTGTCTTGTTCTGAAAACATCAAGATCATAAGTTTGTATTTATGACTATATGTAATAGTTAATAAAAAAAATTTTGGCAGTGAAGAGCAATAACTGAACTTATTATTATTTTTTTAAAATACGGTGGTGCCTCACTCTGTCACCCAGGCTGGATTGCAGTGACGCAATCATAGTTCACTGTAAACTCCAGCTCCTGGGCTCAAGTGATTCTCTTTCCTCAGTCTCCCAAGTAGTTGGGACTCCAGGTGCACATCATCACACCTGGCCAATTTAAAAAAGATTTGTAGAGATGGGGTCTGCTTTGCTTCCTCAGCTGATGGCAAACTCCTGGTTTCTAGTGATCCTCCTGCCTTAGCCTCCCAGTCTGGTGGGACTACAGGCATGACCCATCGCACCTGGCCCTACAATTTTTTTAAAAAAGGAATTTTTATTCCCTAATTAAAAAAAAAAGCCAACTTAGAATAAAGCCTTGTTTTTTCAAAAAAATCAGCCAGTATTTTAATAAGGGGATCTAGGAAGGATCACATATCAACAATTTGGTCTTCTGTATGCATATACAGGGCCCCTAAAGTTTTATTTCATGGTTCAAGTACTATCTGTAAATTCATGCACCTGCTCACCATGTTTCCGTCATTTTGTATTTCCAAAGTATTATATTTAAAGCAAATAGGTAACATTATTTTCTCATTAGCATGTCATTAGTACCTTGTTTTATGCTAATGTATTGCTATTGCTATGAAACCTGTACTTTTTAAATGAATTCTTTTTTGCGATCAGTTAGTCCCAGTGTTAGAAGAATTACCACTGGGGTAGACAGTGCTGTTGTATTTGCATCAAGAAATGGCTAGTTCTCTCTCTGGCTTGTCCATTACATGCAACTGAGAGAGATGGTCCTCTTCTCCAGTGAGTGCATGAGGTCCTGTGGAATCAAAGAGGAAGACAGTGCCCAAATCGCAAGCATCTTCCAAGACTGACACCATATCTCTCCCTCTCTAGTGCCTTTAAAAATGAGAAAAACAGATGGCACTTGTGTTCAGTTTTCACCTCCTTTTCTTCCTCCTAATTTGGTCATCAATTGTGATCGCCACTCAGACTATTTCAGAATGAGATAAACAGATGATTACTGGGAACCAAAGACAGCAAAAGACAAGGGACAGGAAAAAGGAGAGAGGGAGACAGCATTGAGCTCCTACTCTGTGCCGGACCTGAAGCCTTCATGGCTTCACATTTTATGTTTTTTTTTACATTAATCTCCACAGCTATCCCTGGAGGTATCTGATTGGATGGAAAGGAGGCTAAGGCAGAAGTCACACAGCAAGTGCAGAGCCTCTGTGCATCTTCCAGCTGATGCTGTTTTCACTCTTTCCATTATTACACAAGAGACGGGGAAGGAAAACCATGGGACTGGAAAGGCACTGCAGAAACTGGAAAGGGAGAGCGTTTTGGAACAAGAGCCTGAAAATCATCCTAATCCTATTTAACTGCCTGCGATACTGGAACGTCTACATGGAAATATGGGTATGGGGTGGCTAAAATCCCGTAGTGATTGAGATCTGGTGACTTCAAGTAAGAAGTATAGAGACCAGAGCCCTTAATCAAACAACAGGAGCCATAAGCCCTCTTAGGAGTAAGCCATAGGTGAGGACCAGAGACTCGCCCCACCCCCCAACCCTCCAACCCTCAAACGAATAAGCAGCTCAGCTTGACCCTCTTTGCCAATCCTTTCCAACGTAGTTTGTTTATACTCTGCATTCTGTCCGTCCTCAAGGCTAACGCTGCCTATGTCTTGAGTTTCTCATGGCATTCACTCTCAATGCAAACACGCCAAATACAGTCAAAACTCTGAAATTTGACCTCTAAGCAAAACTTTTGGTATTTTGAATTTTCAAGTCTTTTGATAGATGATCCCAGATTAACGCTCAATGGAATCTTGTATACACAGGGCAGAAAGCTAAGGAGTGCTTTTACAGAAGCCAGGAATGGCTCACTGTCTGCTGCCCTTTCTGCTCCTTCACACACATTCCAGCCTCCTCGTCAGTCTGCTCAGAGGGAGCCAAGGTAGTTCTGCCAAGTGGGAAAATGTTTGAGATACAAGTGGCAGGCGGAAAAATGCAGGGCTGATTTGGAAGTCTGCTTTGGAAATTACGTGAAACCAAAGCTTGTGAGTTGATGTCAAAGCCTTCCTGTGGGCTCCGAAGGCCAGCGTTTGAAGATCTTCACCAATTGATTTGTTACGTGTGTGCCCAACTCTGTGCCAGTTAGCCTTCCCCATCTGCATGCACCCCATGTCCCTGGCCCAGTGCAGACAAGCCAGTGATACTAACACTGGCAGCCGTGGCCAGGATTCCATGAAAGGGCATGGCCCAGATCGGCTTCCCCAGCTCCAGACCATGGCTCTCATCTGGAGTCTAGATCCTGCCACAAACACTTGTGGGTGGTAATAGATTTTCCTTACTTTGTCTCTCAGCCCTCCCTACTGTCTGGTGAATTCCCATCTATGGGCCTCCAGGAGCATGTGCTCTCCCCCTATACCATTCCCTGGAGACACAACCATCAGCTCCAGCCCAATGAAAGCAACCTGGTCTGTCCTGTCCTGGGACCATGACTACATCCACCCACTCCAGCCAAACCAGACTTCTTTCACTTTTCTCAGTTGTTTCACAGATCTGGAATTGTGTGATTCCCTTCTCTTCCACCCATGAGGCTCAGTTAAAAACTATTGCCTCCAGAAACACTTTCATGACTAACACAAAGCTCTTTAGTCTTACCAGTCGTGTTAATACCTGTAAACTATCGTTACGTGGCACATTAATGAGACTGGCTTGTTACATGTTCATATGGAATCTATTTGTTCATTGCAACTACTACAGGCATAAAGTTTTGACATCTTGGATTTAGAAGGAATATTAAACATTTTCTAATCCAACCACTCAACTACTTCACCCATCTCTACTCAACTGCAGTAGCTAATTCTCTACTTGCATATACAGGGTGTACTGTTTCACAGAGGACCCCAAAATGCTGAAGAACGATCTTCCTTTTAATTTCTATCCACTAGCTCTGATTCTGCCATTTGGAATCAGACAGGACAAATCTATGCTTTCTTCCACAAGACTGTCTTTCAGATGTTTGTCAAAAGCCCTTATAAGAATCTTTTTGTGTAGGCTCACATTGTTTTCCATCAAACCACATGACTTTCAGCCATTCAGCCAGACGACTGCTCTCTTTCAGATCTGCTTCAGTCTGTCAGTATCCCTTTAAAAATATGCTGGCATCTACTCTAAGCTTAGAACTCTAGACTTGGCCAAGCGCAATAGTTTATGGTACATTGTGTGCGTATTTCCTGCATTCAGGGCATTGTACTTTTGCTGCTGCAGTCTGAGATTAGGGGAGGCTTTATTTTTTATAATCTATATTTACTCATTCATACATTTAACACTGAATGCCTGAAAAGCAGTGCAGTAAGTAGAGTAGATACAAAGGTGAGTACGATGTGGTCCCTGCTCTCAAGGGACTGTCTGCCAGGGAAGACAGAAAAGAAACTTACCACTATATTCCATGTTAAGTGAAGTGTGGGAGGCTAGAAGCTATCTCTATTACCTCATGCTGTTTTATATATGACCTAAACGTCTTAGAGTATATATAAGCTCATATATTAGACCATATATATCTAAGCGCATAAATCGCTGGCTGTTATTTTTGTATTTTCATAAAATCTGCTGTTAGGTGAGTGTTCTCTATTCTTTACTTACCAAATGATCTTTTGAACTTAAGAACAGGTCTTTAAATTTATTGCAGTAGTTGAGATATGTTCCATTCCTGACTTTCTCCTCCAGCTATTTATTTTTGCCTTGTTAAGCAATCCCCCACCCCAATAAAATAAACAACTAACTGAATTTGGGTGAAAGGTAAAGTAAGGGCAGGAAAATAATAAAGCCAGGGGTAAAATCCATTCACAGATAGGCAGGCATGAAGTCTTGCACATTTGCTCGAAGTCGGTGAGAATATGGCTTAAGATGCCTCTTTGGGCCGGGCGCGGTGGCTCACGCCTGTAATCCCAGCACTTTGGGAGGCCGAGGTAGGTGGATCACGAAGTCAAGAGATCGAGACCATCCTGGTCAACATGGTGAAACCCCGTCTCTACTAAAAATACAAAAAATCAGCTGGGCCTGGTGGCACGTGCCTGTAATCCCAGCTACTCAGGAGGCTGAGGCAGGAGAATTGCC